AATAGTATGTTTATCTTTCTAATTCACTAGTTATTTGCAAAATGTATTTTGAACTAATTTAAGTCATTAATTGATCATCTTTCTTTTTCAGGTTCCGGGATATTCTTTTTCATTGTTAAAAAAATATATATATTTCAATATTATTGTAATATAAATCGCAGTTCTAAAAAATAAATGATATTGTTTATTATAATAATGTGTAATTTATTTACTATGAATTTCCTCTGAAAATAATAAGTCTTTAATAATATCATTGATTTGCTGTGTAAAGTTAATAGACATATTTTTTAATACATTAAATTATATTAAAGTAATAAAAAATATGTTTATTAACTTTAAACAGTAAGTCAGTTATACTTATAAAAATATTTTTTTAAAAATTTTCCCCCTTTTAAGCCCCGCCCCTCCAATTCCCCTCAATTTAGCTAGTACTGCCAGGCGACACCAGGTGACGTCTGTTTCCATTTTTTAACACGAAGTTAGCATTTCTTTAATGTACCTATTCTCTGATGCAAACAAATTTTTTAGTAAAGTTTATTTATCTGGCTTGAAAGTCAGCACAAGAATTAATTTTGAAAAGTAATGTACAAGTTGTTGACAAACTTTTTTTATTATAAGTAGCATGCATATTTAAATATCTTTAAATATCTCAAAAATCAAAAATTTTAAACATATTAAACCCTTATAATAAATGCTATATTGTATGTCCAAGAATCCAAAAATGAAATAAAATACCGGGTGTTCCATAAGAAAAAATATAACTTTGGTATGGATCATTTCACATTTCAAAATAATTTTAAATTATGCCTTCCCACATATACCCATAAAATATTTTGTTTCCATTTACATCTTTCCGTTTTCGTATAATCAACCGAGGCGAATAAGTTGCGCCACCCTGTATACTTACGTGGATAAATCAACGCCATAAGTTTAGCATTAAAAAATCTCCAACATCACGACATGCCATTTTCAAACCTTCTTTATTGCACTTATGAAACGTTCAATAGGTTTGCCTTTCTCGAGGACCTTACTTTGCGCATGCGCATTAAAAGTTGCACGTATTTCCAAAATAATCACAATTTTATACGGTTTAGAAGTACAAATTTTTTTGAAATCGTAACGTTTTTATGCCAAAGTTCCAGAATTCAGGCCCAGCAATGCTTTTTACAATAATCGAAATTAGAAAACGTCAAGACTAAGAAGAACCTCTGACAACGGAAAATAAACAGGAAAATTTAATTTCCACGACGGTCCCGTTGAATGGCAGCCTAAGCGAACTACGAGCGTATAGCGCGCCCTCTATTCCATATTTTAATTAGGTTTGTTCTTGGTTCGCGCCGAGTTATTACAAAATAATTTGAATTTGAACAAATTGACGGGTGACGTGTTGACGCGTGACATAAATGGCGGTAGCATCTCATTATTATCGCGGCGAAGGGAATAAAGATATTCGTGAGAGCGTATACAACGCTGTATGTTGTAAAGCCGTGTTGTATTTTGCATAATTTTGTTGTGGTATTTAAGCGCAATATGTTTAAAGTAAATTTTCTGTATAGGATTTCTGTTTTATATTAACATTATTGTACAATACTTAATAAATATATTAACATAACTAAATACAATACTTAATATAAACGACAGGAAGGAAATTTGTATACTGGGTGACCTTAACGGCAGAGTTGGTCAAAAGCAAAATGATCTAGTCATAGGACAACATGGGGAACAACCAGTTAATGATAATGGTCAGCGAATTATCAACATGTGTGAAAGTTTAACATTAAAGATCATGAACGGATTCTTCCCACATAAAGAGGTACACAAGTTTACATGGGTCCAAAGAACAAGAAGGCTTAGCTCTATAATTGACTATATGATCCTGCGACAAAATTCAATTTTAAAAACCAATGATGTTAGGGTATATCGTGGCATAGAGTGCGGTTCTGACCATTATCTGTTGATGGCCAAAGTGGTAATTAAGTACAGGAGCTCACAAAAGGAGAGAGAAGAGCACAAGGGCAACCAAGGAAAGGTAGATTCGGTTAATTACAACTTGGATAGTCTCAGACATGAATCAGTACAATTTCTTTATAAACTTAGACTGGCTTCAAAATTACAAAATATACAAATGGAACAAATTAATACCGAAGAGTTATATAAAACCATTAAAGACTCTATACATCAAGCAGCCGAAGAAGCTTTAGGACATCAAAAATATCGATGTACACAAAATCCGGAATGGTGGTCTGAGGAATTGGAAGAGGTTACAAAAAATAAAAAGAAAGCTTATCAGAAGTGGCTACTTACAGAAAACTCTGAGGATCAGATAGCATACAAACGTTGTAATATAGAAGTTAAAAGAATTGTACGCGAAAAGAAAAATGAAAGTTGGGACAGGAAATGCGAACACATCGAAAGGTATATGGGCGGATCAAAAGTATCAGAGGCGTGGAAAGCAATTAAAAATATTCGACGAGAAAATAAGCGATCTGCTCATATAGATATGATAAATATGGAAAAATGGCAAGAATATTATAAGATCTTACTCACAGAAGATTGAGAACACTTCATAGAACCAACAGAAGAAATTAAAATCACACAGGTGGACACAGACAACATAAATATAAATGAAATAGAAAAAGCTCTTAGGAATATAAAAAGTGGCAAGGCCTCAGGACCAGGAAACATTCCCATTGAACTGGTAAAACACGGACCAATCATACTACTGGAAGTTTTGGCAGAACTTTTTAACAGATGTCTCATACGAGAGATGTCTCATACGAGATGATATTCCTACAGACTGGAGCATATCATATATTAGTTCCATCCATAAGAAAGGAGATAGGAAGGTGTCTGAAAACTATAGATGTATCAGTGTCACCAGTGCAATGGGGAGGTTGTATGGTAGAATTCTGTAAACGAGAATTGAAATGGAATGCCAAGAACTAGAGGAGCAAAGTGGTTTTCACGCAGGAAGATCGTGCTTAGATAATATTTTCACCTTACAACAAATTATTGAAAAGAGAATAAATAGCTCGAAATTTATCCACCCATCTGATTTTTATCGACATTTAAAAAGCATACGATACGGTACCCTTAACAAAACTTTTCAAAACTCTGACGAAAATCGGCCTAAACAAAGTATACATCCGCGCAATCCATAACATTTATAAAAACGCAACCAGCGCCGTAAAAATTGGCAAAAATATATCAGCACCCTTCAATATCTCGAAAGGCCTTAAACAGGGTTGTTGCTTGTCGCCTACTTTGTTTAAAATTTATGTCAAGGAAGCTCTGGATGTATGGAGACGTAAATGCTCAGGAATGGGGATACAGATTGGTAATCATTGCTTGACAACCTTGTTGTTCGCCGATGATCAGGTTATAGTTGCTAATGATGAGGAAGATATTGACTATATGCTCAGAAAATTGAAAGAGGAGTACGCAGAATGGGGATTGAAAATGAACATGACAAAAACAGAATATCTAAAAATGGCAGACGATGGACAAGTAGACCGGAGCTTAGAACTCAGCAATATAAAACAATGCGAAGAATACAAATATTTAGGAACTATAATATCTCAAGAAGGAACATCAAACAGGGACATTCAACATAGAACACAACAAAGGCAGACATGTATCCGAATTCTAAATTCAGTACTTTGGTCGAATAAAATAAAATTAAAAACTAAAATGACAATCTACAAATCGATAGTAGAGCCTATTTTATCCTACGGGTCAGAATGCTGGCAATTGACTGAAAAAAACAGAAAAAGAGTGGATGTGGTAGAAATGGATTTCTTGAGAAGAGCGTGTCAGATATCAAGAACACAACATATTCGAAATGAAGATATAAGAAGAAAGACAGGAAAGGTATTCACAACTATAGACAACATAGAAACAAGACAACTTGTCTGGTATGGACATGTGATGAGAGCTGGGGAAGACCGATGGCCAAAAAGAGCTATAGAATATGCCCCTAGAAATCGAAGGAGAAGAGGAAGACCAGTGATATCATGGGAAGAAGGAATTAGAAAAACAATGAGGGATAGGGCCATTAAAGATGACGAATGGCAAAACAGAGAAAATGGCGATCGAAATGCGGGATGCGGCAGAGGCTGTGGGACCCCTGCTATATATATATATATATATATATATATATATATATATATATATATATATATATATATATATATATATTAAAATTATTGTGTTATCGAGGTTGATAATAAATCATTGCAAATGTTGAGCATAGATAAATGAAACAGGTTTAGATGGAAGGTGCCCATAAGGACAATGTAACCACTATTTGGCGCTATTCTTGCAACGGTCGCGACCCAAAGCTTGTGATTCTTTCGGATCGGTTCGGCTTTTCCGGAATTATGTCGCCAAATATTATTTATTCAAATTTATTATTATTTTCTTTTAATTTTATAAATAAAATACAGTGTGTTGCATACAAGAAACTTTATTTTCTACAAGGTGTCCCAGAAATAAGTGCAAGTATTTTAAGGGGTGGTAGATCTCGATAAAAGAAACATATTTTCCCTTTATCGTTTTTCGAATAAGTCCAAAATAACCAAGTTATTTTACTTTGAAAATTTCCAAAAAAAATATTATTTGCTAAAATTTTGAGAACCACTGGATCTTTTCTGGATTTTCTTGTAAATTTAATCTAATACCTATGTTGCTATATTATCAAGAAATTATGTTTTTAAAAAATGCGTTTTTAAAAAATGTTATTATGTTTTTAAAAAATGTTGCTAAAAGAAATTCCAAAAAATTTTTCATAAAATTTCGAATTTTCAATTTTTTTTTCGCGAAAACAACCTTATAGGCCTGTTCCTGGGGTTGAACTGTACTACCAGTTAAAATACTTGCACTTATTTCTGGGACACCCTGTATAAGGATATGTATGTGAAATACCTATGAAACATCACAGGAAACATTGGAAAACGACGTTATACGATGGTTTTTGCACTTCACAGTTCACAACACAGTTTTTTAGTTTTTAATGCCACTTTTTCACAATTGTCACGGATTTGGGTAAGTAAAATTAAAATTAAGCCCCCAATACAGCAATATAATTACTTTGAGAATGGACGCTTTAAACACTTTTCGGTATTTTTTCAATGAGGGCAAAGAATATACCTAGCCAAAAAAAGAATGGACTCTGCTATACTGAAAAATGGTCCTACAGAACTGGCGCCATCTATTGAGTAGGGCTTGTTTTAAATGGGTCGAAGAGCGGGCTTTTTAAACGAGCGTATTTATTGAATTTTACTCTAAAATATAATTAAATTTGATTATTAAATCTTATTTTTTACACAAATTCAACAATACTAATAACAAGTTAGTATCGTTGTGATGTGTAAAAAATAAGATTTAACAGTATAATTTATACAATTATTAAATAGAATTAAAGCCAAACATGTGTAAATAATATTTATTATTTAAAGTTTTTATTTATAAGTCAACTATTTAAGCATCGTTTATTATAATAAAACAAGACCAACGTAATACGCCCAAAGTTTTGTAAATGAAATAAATATAATCTATAATATATATCTTTTCAATCTAAATTTATTTCCTTTAGCTATGATGTTGAGTTTATAGTTCTCCGTGAACTGATAAATGAAAAAAGGGTTAAACAAAATCATGGCTTTGCATTTCAGAAACAGAAAATACTGTATTGCATCTAATTTGGTTAACAGCCTAGCTACAGAAAAGTCTGGACATTTCAAAAATTTTAACCAAATGCCATCTTTGAACATTAAAACATTTTTTTTTCGTTTATGTTTTGCTTGTATATGTTGGATAAAAACAATTCAATTTATAGTGGTTTTTGTCTCCGTTGCGCGTTGTAGTGTCATTTCCGATAGTCAAGCAGCACTAAACGCGATCAACCCAGTAACCATCAATTCGAAGTTGGTCAAAGAATGCCTAGAGAAGCTCAATAAATTACGCCAAGGAAATAAAGTCATCCTACTTTGGGTGCCTGCCCATCAAGGAATAGAAGGCAATGAAAAAGCAAATGATCTAGCTAGAAAAGGAGCGAACACTCCACTAACTGGACCAGAACCGTTCCAGTTTTCCAAGCGGGAACCAACTGAAAGCGGAACTGAAGAAACTGGAATAGGTGTCCTCCAACGGTCCAAGACACTCGAAAAAGCTCCTCAGAACCTACGACCGAGAAAAATCAAAGGTTTTCTTTGATTTAACTAAAAACAATCTTCAAATTGTCAGGGGGTTTCTAACCGGACACTGTCTCCTCAACGAACACCTCAGTAGGATGAAGCTGAGAAACAACGGCGAATGCAGATTCTGTGTCACCCAGAGTTCAAATGGACCCAGAAGAAAAAATCAAACAGTTTAAGGCTCTATTTGTATATGAGAGACAAACCTGGACTCAACCAAATAATATACAAACTGTGATAAGAGAATGTGATATTTTTGTGATTCAGATATAATAAATGCTGCCAAAGATATAAAAATTAACAAATCTTTGGGATATATTTGCCACCAAATGTGATAAAAACGCTAATATTGGACAATGTAGAGTATTTTAGAACATTTTTCAATAACTTTCTTCAGAGAAATGAATTCCCTAAAGAATGGAAGAGATCCAAATTAACCCTAATAGAGAAACCCCGGAAGCACCTAAATGATCCACCAAAATATCGTCCGATTTGCCTCATTGATGTAATGGGGAAAGTCTATGAGAAACTCATCAATGCGCGACTCTTGGAAGAAATTAGGAAGAAACGAAATGGTATGCATCCAAACCAGTATGGATTTGTAAAGGGGAAATCTACCACACATGCAATGAAGAAAATATCGGATATCGTGAAAAGAAAAGCAACTTGGCATAATGCTTTGATTTTAGTCGACGTTAAAAATGCATTTAATTGCGCGTCATGGGAAATAATTATTAAAGAACTTAGAAGATGGGGCATAAGTGGCTATTTGGTGAACATAATAAGAAGCTATCTTGATAATAGATTTATAGTTCTCAATAGAGAAGATGAAAGAGAGGTATTCGGTGGCGTCCCACAGGGCTCGGTGCTGGGGCCAACTCTGTGGAACATATTATACGACAGTGTCATGTACCAGGTGGGACAGAGTTGATCTGTTACGCCGATGATATTGTTGTGATAATAACAAAAAAAAAACTAAAAGAAACAAAAAAATAAACGACCCCGACCTAATGCAGACTGTGGATGATACACTAAAGATCATAGCCAGATGGATACGTGAGCACAGACTCGAAATAGCTGTGGAAAAAACAGAGGCGATTTTACTGAGCCGCAAGAGAAAAGTTGACCATATAAGGTTTAATTTTAAGCATATAATAATAAATCCAGTAAAGCAAGTCAACTATCTTGGATTCCACATAGACCGTGCACTCACGATGGGCCTGTACATCAAGGAGGTGTGTCTGAAATCACAACGAACTGCTAAAGCGTTGTCCGCAATACTGCCAAACGTTCGGGGCCCAACACTAGCAAAGAGAAGAGTGTTAGCATATGTGTGCCAGAATATTATTATGTATGGAGCACC